CAACATTGATTTTGTGTCAGAGCTGTTAGTGATTCTCTTAATGATGCTCTCCGTCGTTACTTCTATTTCCCATCTCAGTCCCTATTTGCGACATTACTAATTCTTTTAGGCAATTTACAGCATCTGGAAAAGCGAAGACACATATCAAGCTAAAGTTGTATATTATCTCCCTCAAACTTCAGGAATACGAGAGAAAAACAACAGGCAATGTCAGCGATTTATTCAAATATTCCGATAATTTCTCCTTGCATTGGTATCAGAACCAGTCACCGATGGTTTCTCAACAAAGAGTAAAAGTTGTGCGGGCACTTTCTCAAATTGAAATACCGTTAAGCCAAGTTCCACACTACTCTCAAAGTCTCTTATCTCTTCCTTCAAAGCTTACCAAGTCCAGCTCGAATCCACTTAGTTCTGATAACGGTTATGGTAAAAGTGTGGATGACGTAAGTTGGTATGAAGTTGAGCTCGATGTCCTGTTGTGATTTTTCGTCGATGAATGAGTTCGTCCTATGCTAAAATAGGTCAATATCTGGCGTTTCGGCATTAATGGGCATAAATTTAGATAGTCTTCTAGGGACGTACTGACTGCACGAAAGTTACTTTTTTATTTATAAATAAGCTAGTTGTGTTTCTTCAATAGCGCTTTTTTTGTCTCTAGGGTTGTACATAGCTGCAAGTAGAATACGCATAGCACAAGACTTTGGAAAGTACTCCAAACATTTTTATCTCATTTTTTTACGAAACTAAAATGCATCATCGTTTATGTTTCAGTTTGTTCATCATCTAAACGGCTTAGCGCAAGCATACATTGTTCCCTTAAATCCATGCACTATTGATGATGCAGATAAGGCTCTTCAAAGCATAGAAACAGCGAAAAGCTTAGCGGATATGGAGTGGAGGAAATTGGACGATCGAGATGCGGCAGCTCAACATTACGACATCTGGAGCTCACAGTTGAAAGAAAAATGGGAGAATGTACTCCGACGCAAACATTTGCTTTTGCGCATCTCAGAACTGGAACGTGATCTCAATGTTTGTTGTCGAAAACTAGATCAGCTTATTGATGCTGCTTACTGTTCTGGTGGGGATAGTCTCTCGGGCGAGTACTTAAAAAAACTGGAAGTCATCAGTTCTGATGTGATGTGCCTGCGCAACACTGTTCCCGTAAGTTTCTTTGACTCTTGTATGGAAAAATGAATCAAATTTTCTTCTGTTTTCAAGTTGCATCATACCTGCCCAGTATAAGTTTGTTCATTTCAATGCGCAAAACATATCAACTCTGCTGACCCACAAACGCCTTTTTGGTCAGGGCACTGTGAAACGCTATTTATTTGACATATTCTTTTGTGTTCTCTTTGTTCCTTGTTACGGTGCTTTGTCTAAAGACCGCCTTTAGTGGAACTGTAGTTGATCATAACTAGTCGACTAGAAATGTTACTTTGAAACAAAAATTTTTCCAATCAACTTATTCTCTTTTATAACGGCCATTGTAAGGCCCAGGAGAAAATCATAGAGGGCCTTAGCAACGATGTGATGATCGTTTTCAAAGGCGAGGCACCTACAACTGTGGGCAAGGCACAAAAAGTGTGGAGTGCTTATGTGCAAGAATTATGCAAATTTGAATCAGTCCTACCAACTCTGATACAAGTAAGCGAATCATTTTATCCAGTATTTGGCATTTTAGCATATGCAAGCTAGAAAAGTGATTGAGTGTTGAAAGAAAGTAAAAGCATAGCGATGGCAGCTTTCTGGAAATGAAGGGATAAATGATTTGCAAAGAATGTTTTAGTTTCTAAGGCTAAATTGAATGCCTCTGATGACGCGATATTAAGATCAGGTGATGGTAGAGCAATAAATAGCTTAGCTACTTGCTTGCATTAATGGAGGCGTTGAAATATTCCTGTTTTAATTCAAACTTGGCGGAATTGTGCTTCGAAAGTACAATAAATAGGGCGGGTGACTTGCAAGGCTTTGAGCTCTGCGTTTTGCTGGTTTGCGACGGTGTCAATAAGGTGCTCTTCCAACCTCTAAACGAATGCCGCATTGAGCACCATTTTACTGACTGCAAAGCAGTTGATCTTACCGTGAGGACACGCTAACCTTGAGTATGAAGTTCATGAAAACACTTTTCTCCGATTGGCTATTTGCTTTGGTTCTAAACAACAATAATGAACTCTTTTTACTCAGAACTCCCAACTCCTTGTGGCAGCTCGCGAGTTCACGAGCAGCCTACAGTCGAAGTTTAATGGTATTTCACAAGACTCCGAATCTCTTAGAAAAATTCAGGTAAGCGAAGCTTTTACCAAACTTCCAGCATTCACATAAAATGAAGACAGGTTACTGAAACAACAATCCGATGATGATGCTAACAGACATATTGGTTGTGTAGAATTTGACACATCACGCTGTCTTACAATATGCTTTTAAAATATTGTAAATTGAATTGATGGACACTTTAATGCTGACAACTTCAGTGCACACTTCATCTTGAACAGTGTTTTCTTGATGTGTCTGAAATCATTTGCGTTTGCATTTGAGTTGATGTTGCCGTATTTCGCATTTAGCAAGAGGCTGCTAGATTACAGGAGAATATAGAACACCACCTTAGTACGATTACGAATCCACTTGATCCTGTTTTCCAAAAGCCATCCGTATATTGGCTTGTCGAAGGACTTCAGTCGACCTTGGGTACGCTGCAAGAAGTCGGTGAGGAGGCAGAGATAATGGCAACTAACCTGAGTGACCATGTGAGTCGCATGGATCCAAGTGGGTCGCCAAACCCAGATTGTTCACAATCTCCACACCGCAATAGTCCCTATGATGGAAAAGAAGAATACGATACTACTAATTCCCACCAGTCTTCCCGGAAATCGCGTATCAATGCTTCAGGATTTGAAGATGATGCATCTCCCATCGAAGGTGATAGTAAGATCCGTTTTCTTCATAAAAGCGCTTGAGAGACAGGTCTAATTGGTATGTGAAACAATACTGACAAGCAGGTTGCCATGAGTAACGTGTTTTTTTATTCTCACCGTCTCAGCCGATTGCTTTAAATCATGGTTCATTTGGCTTTGACAATTGAAACGTAATTTTACTGGATATATGAATCGCAGTTCTGAATCTAATAAGATATAGAGCACAACTTCTTCCCACTACGCCCAATGTTCATGAGAGCGTCGGCTTTCCCTGTAAATCGTAGATATCAATGATGAATACATTAAGAGAACAGTCTGGTGAACAATAGTCAGTAGAATCGTAATATCAAGACTTGTGCGCTTTCTTATGCTAGCCAAAACGCAAAGATCACATGCATGCTTCTCAGTGAGCCATTATAGCTTGACTTTGGAAAGATTCCTTATATAAAATTCTTTTTGGTTTCGATATGCCGTTCATGAGTGTTTTAAGAAGTGCCTTATTAATCCCCGAAACTCTCCATGACTTCATGCGTGTCTGGTGCGAGTTTTAGACTTTGGCTATGTATGCATTCTACTTCTCCTTTTTTCGAAAAGATGCACGTCATTACTGCCTCTCCAGCTAAAGTCGTGGAAGCCAGTCGGATGAATAAATTTGTTAAGATTCATCAGATCTAATAACTGTTGCAATTTTATGATTTGTTTAGAGGAAATGTATTTTTCGAAGCCATCGGATGTAATGAATGCCACTCCAGGAGGTTCCATTACGATCCATTGCACTTTCCATGGATTTGAAGAGGAGCCCAACATTAAGTGGTCATTTGTCCCTGCTCATCGCGCGTCTGAAGGAGCTGAATTTGCTGAATCCTTTCTTGTCTCAACAACGATACCCCACAACGATGCGAAAACTGCATCCCTTTTAATACCTAATGTTTTATACAAGCATGCTGGTCAATATATTGTTACGATTACAAACTCGCTAACTGGCAAACAAATATCAAGCTCTTGTAAGTGTTTTCCTACTGATATGTATCCACTAGACTGTATTTTTTACATGAGATTATTTTTTAGCCAAACTACACGTCAAACCCAAGTTGAAGCGTGGCCTTACCGATTTGAGTGCAATCGTTGATGGCAACAAATGCACAGTTACGGGGAAAGAAGTTGTCTTTTTCTTGGAATATGGTGGATTCGATAGGTTACCCTCTCGGGTTGTCTGGATGCACAATGGCAAACCAATTGACCCAACAAAATGGGCTGTATCTATCGGCCTGTCAACAGCACGAATTAGGTCGGACTGCCTAAAATCAGTTGACGAGGGCCAGTACACTTGTCAGGTCTCTGACGATGAACTTGATGTTAAGTTGGAGTCATCGGGTAAGACAAACTATCGCACTTGGGAAAGACCTGCCATAACTCCCTTTATTCCTTATGAAATAAAAGCATATGATCCTAAATAGGATCCAGTAGCTATGACCAGTAATTATGAAGGGCAGAGAATGAATTATTTCAACAATTTAAGTGCTTTGCTAAAATCTCAAGCATTTCGACGAACATCCATTTGGAGGTATTGGGCAATGGATGTTTGCAACGTTTAGAATTTTGACGGTAAGACAATTTCATGTACCACTCTGCAGGGTTACCACTTCCTACCACTGAATACGACTTCGGTCACAGTACACGTAGTCGGGTCCTATGAATGCATTATTTATCTTCGCAATGTTCAATTTTTAAAAATCCCTTCCAATGTAGGATGTGCTGCTTGGTTGACCGCAATAACTTCGTATTCAAAATAATCTAGAGAAATCATTTTAGTTATTTTAGTTATTTAGTAACGTCTTCTGGGCATATTTTCTTTTCGGTCTGTCTTTGTTCAAGGGTCTACCGGGCGACACTTTGTAATCACACGATACTGCTGATATCATAAAAGTTAATAGTGGTTAAAAGAAAGAGTTTGAACTCAGTGAGACTTTAGTAGTTAAATTGAAGGAGATAAATTGGTTGACAATGCGACAGCTTTTGTGAATTTCCTATGTTTTACCTTGTCTACTTCAAGTCAGCGAGTGGTGAACAATGCTTAACTCGGAAATCTTGATTTAAAAACAGTTGTTTTTTACAACGTTATCCACGACTGAGTCGTGGAGTAGGAAACTGGAACCGTTACTCTAGTTAGCATCATTCTGTGACTCCCATGCACTAAGAAATTTTAACGGTGATAATTATATTTCAAATGGTGTAATTTAAAGTCTGACTTTTGAAAAATTTTGGACCGTTGTCTTGGTGAATGTCTCGGAGGTGCGTCGTCCATGTCGCTTCATATTAAACTTATTTTAAATCGCCAGCTACTCAGTTTAAATGTCTTATCAATTGAGAATGTGGATGCTTGACAAAAGTATTAAGAATGTGAACGCTATACATGCTTAATACGTACCTCTTGCGCCGTGAAGCTGCCCTTAGGTTGCAGAATGCCCTCGATGTTCCTCGACCAGCCTCTCGTGCCTCCTCCCGGACTGTCACTCCGTCAGGAAATGGAAAGTTCTCTTGGGTCACTAAGGCTTTGGATAGCTCTCCACTCTCACTTAAATGTCCACTTCCAAGCGTTGCCTCTGAGGCCTACGGTGAAGCTCGTCGTGTTCGTATGCAGTGGTTTCGTGATGGAACTCAGCTCTATGACTCTGACTGGCAGACACCGGACTACTTCACCAATAGCCAGGGTGTACCATTTGTCGATGGAAACACTTACTGGAGTGTGAGCGTGTGTGAAGGTCGAACAGTGCTGTTAAACACTAACCGTATCCGATCCGTTGACGCTGGTCGTTATTCGTGTCACGTGAGCATTGACAAGGACACCTACGAGTCATCAGGCAAGCAACCCACTCCCTAGCACAGCCAACTTTTTCCTCTATCATGTTTCTCCTATTTACCAAAATTCTAATCATAATGGTCTAATCTTCAACGCTAAGCGATGCATTGCGTCATATTCCTAAGAGACAGTTTATTCAAGGAGAAGGTGAGAATACGAATTTTTGCACAATAAGATTTGCACTAGTAGCGGAGAGCAACTTATTTGCTTGATAAAGAAAATTGTGTTTTGTTTTACTGTCCCTACCTTCATATTTCGCTTCCAAATAGTTTAGTTCTAAATCACTGCAGTATATGATTGACTCTACCTGTTCCCCTTTTGATGCTATACCTATATTGCAAAACGCTAGTATGACAGAGATGCTTTTCCTTGTGATTCAGGTGTTATTACGGTGTGTTCGAGTCAGCAGTTCGTCGAGCAACTAACTGGGTTGAAAGTATACCTTGGTGAGCCGGCGGAACTGCGCTGTCGACTAGAACCCTGGGTGGCAGGAAACAGCCCGGAGTTTAGAACCATAATCAAGTGGTACCACTTTGAAACTCTCCTTACATCCGAACTCCAAGATCGTGTTGGCATAAAAACGGAGTGTGATGAGGGATTGTGTACCCTACGAATCGAAAAGACTTCTAGGCGTTTTGGTGGTGTGTATAAGTGCGAGGCAACGAATAAATTCGGGATCTGCGTAACCAGCTGCAGACTACTGATTGATCGTAAGGCAGTTTGACATCTGCATGGTGTCAGCTTATACAAAAGATGTTAACAGAATGTTGAATCGATGTATTTGTCAGTGTTCTCACTGTTTTGACCTTCGCTTTGCTCATACAAATGACCTTTTTCCATTCTTATGTTTCAAATGAAAAGCAAAGTCAATAGCCAATGCCATAATAACTGTGATTGGAAATACTGCATACTAGAATATTTTCATTACACCAATGAATCCCGATCTTTTATTTTTAGACGATAAGTTGTTGCATCCGAGCTTTGCTAATAGGTCAATAAGAAATATTTTGTTGTTCTACTTTTCTTGATATGAGCTGACAACAAGTATAGATGATAATCCGGGGAGAATTGGACTTTAACCATGTTTTTAAGAATGCTTAATGCTTTTAAACAGGTTTTGTGCAACCAACTAGTCCGTTTGAATGCTTTTAAATATAGTACCAGTTTCTCCTACTATCTTGGGTCCGATCCAATGTTTACATGCTCCAAATGAAGGCGATGCGATAATCCTCAGGGTGGAATACGACGCTGTGCCCCAACCTACGGTCATTTGGCTTAAAGGCGGTCAAACCATAAAACAAGGGGCGGGATACAAAGTAGTCCATCAATTTTTATTATATTTTTCGTTTGATTTTTTCCTGTGGTAACACATGAACATAATATTCCTCGTTGTTGCGTACCGAGTTGTTTATATCCGCTCCTAGGCAGCAAAAATTTGGAGACATATTCAACATACCTGGGCCCGTTAGTTGACAAGGCTTCATGAGCACCTGAACCCTGATTGAACTCCAAAGTCACTTCTGAAAGCCCAAATTATCGTTGTCCTTTTTAGATTGTAACGACGAAAGAAGAAAGTCTTTTGCATTTACCGAATTCTCAGATTGAAGAAACTAGCACATATTCCGTTGTTATAAAGAACGTGGCAGGGAGTGCCGAGTCTTCATACACTCTTCAGCTTGGTGGGTAGGTTTAAAATATACTAATGACTCCCAGATCTTACATTTTTACGGCTCATTGATGTTTCATTTCACCATTTTGCACTAAAATAATCATTCTCTTTTTTTACATTTGATTACTGCACCACTATGAGAAATGAATGGATGGTACTTCTATTTGCTCTGCCAATACCTTCTTTTATGGAAATTGGATGTGTAGAACACTTCAATGATCACTTTACTCACCTTGTTTCCTGTACGGCCTCACTACTTTGAGTCCAACCCCATAGTCGCCTTAAATTCCTACCAATGGAGGTATAAACGCATCAATTGTTTAATCGTATCAGACGCGCACTGTTGAGGCTGCTTCCAAAACAACGTTTTATAATATGTATGTCGGGCGACCATTGCGAAAAATTTGCAACGCAGGAACACTAATGTTCTATAACTGAACTAACATTGAAATTCAATAAGCCTTCATTCTTACTGTTTTACACTACCGTTTTTGTTCTCTTGCTATCAGGATTAATGGGCGCATGACGTGTGTTTAGAAAATCGAATGCATTTGAAGCTAATGAGAATGGGAATGTATGCCGCGTCAGTGTACTTTTTTTCCACCAACATGAATTTGACGGATATAGAGAGGAGGGCCCTTCTTAAATGAAGAAACCAACTTGATTAGGTAATTTTGAGTTGGTCGTCGTCGAAGAGGCTTGATAGAAGTCTAAGTATATTGGGATACTGTGCTTCTCTTCCCTTCAGGGAATCATAACCACTCCCTTCTCAGGGCGATCAAGACGCTTTTCTGCTTCCTCTCATTTATGAGAAAGTTGACCACAATAGGTTCATGCTCTTGTTCAGTGATACTTCAAATGCATTTGAAAGCCTTCTTTGTGAACTGATTCATGGACCGACATACGGCTGCGTCTTTGCCCTGCTTGGCATCAGTAAAAAGTGTGGATAATAATTGGCTGTTTTATTTTCCAACTTCACTTTCGTATACCAGAAGGAAAGATGCTCCAACTTGTCCATAGTAGGCAAAGCATCAATGCATAAATTGTGCGACACATTACATTCTAATAAAATCGACTTAATGAACTTGTTTCAATGCCATAAACACACTGTTTCTACTTATCAGCATTTTCACTAGGAGACGGTGATCATACCTTTTACTAACATTCCGATGCGTCTGTGTTAAAAGCTGATTTGGTTGGCAATTCCTCGACTGTTCCGAAGCATGATGGAACTATTGCGCAGATTGCCAACCCGAAAATGTCTCTTTCAGTTTGATTGTTGATTGCTGTAGATGCGTTGTGTACTGAGAAAAGTGTACGGCAATCAGTTTGTTGTTTTCTTTTTTTCAAAACATGCATTGAACATTCTGAATTGCAAGTTTTATTTTTTAGAAAGCATCGAGGTAAAAGTGCATTCAACCCAGGTATTAATGACCAAATGTAATTGTTTCTCACATGAAACCTTCTGCCATCCTATCTCTGTGCTGTAGACTCATATTATTTACAATCTCTACTTTATTTTGTTTAAATCCGTTTAATGAGGATTGGATATAAACGTCTCATTTTCAGCAATAACACAAGGCGGTCGCGTAGTCGTATCAGGCAATCTTTAATGTCATTGACGGATGATCAAAGTAGGAGCGATCAGGAAAATGCATCATCCTTCTCGAGGTCAGAAGACCCCAAAGTATGCATTTGCACTAATTCTGACGGCAGAGATGCTGTAGGAGCCGATTGGACCTCATACCATCCCGTTCCATTGCCACGTGAAGGGCGACAAACAACTTGTCAATATACCCATTCTTGCTCTGAAGAAGAAACTCTAGTAAAGGATTGCAGAGCTGACACCTGCTTTAGTCGTCCTACTAAGTCAGCGAACCAAAATGAATTGAGGCGATCTCCGCGTAGATCACCTGTGGATACCTCACCAAATGTACAAAGTCAAAACCTGGACACCGGAACATCATTCCTCCTTCGACCTCAGAACATCTCTGCAAATGTGGGCGAAAGTGTTGTTGTCAGTTGTGTGATTCGACCCTCTCCAGGAGCTCCCAAAATCCACCGAGTCTCCTGGCGGTACAAAGACTATGAATTTATGCAAGGGCAAAGTGAAACAGGGCGAGTTATTAGCAAGGCAAACAGCCCTTACAATGGGGTGTTCCAACTCCACTTCACCAACATCTGTGAAGGCGATTACGGGAACTATAAAGTCTTGGCTTTGGATGAGAACGGCATAGAAATCTGTAGTGCTGTATTTAATCTCTCAGTCAATGGTAAGCATTTGAAGGAGTTTATTTAAAAGCGATTTTTGAATCTTAGCCAAGAATTCGGTGCTTGTGCGCCCAAATTTTTAGCCTGGAGAAGTTGACAGCGCGCATTTTAAAGAGGGGTTTTCTCTTGTTAAACAAATAGTCTCAATTACAAAACCACCAAAACGTTTTATACTGTACTTATTTCTATCAATTTAGAGCATTGAAAGAATGCGCCTATTGATTTGACTAGCAGTTTATTCACATTTTAGTTATGTATTATTTTTTATCATGATGAATCTTATTTTCAACATTCCCTTTCATGTTCGTTTCCGTACCCGTTAACCGATTTCTGTTGCATGAATACATTGTGCGTTGAACTATTGTTGTTTGTGCACCTTGCAAAGATTTTGACTATGGTGGTGGGGGAGGAAGATCCACACATAGAGCCCGAATCACTTCAACAATTAGGGCGGAAATGCTGCCGGAGCACAGGAGGCGACCCAGACCTCAAGTGGAATCCAAATCAATTTCTTCACTAAATAAAAGCCCATTGCAGTCCGCGATCACAAATTATTTTTCCCTTGCTGGGGTTCCTAATAGAGAGTTCTTGTTGTTCACTGAGAGTCATAGCAAGTGTCAGTTGAAAGATCTTGGTAAAGTGAGGCTCCGAACCGAAAGCCAGAGCGATCAGAATAATCTCGGCCCACCGACGTCCCTATCTTACCACAATTGTAACTTTGATTGTGGGGAGTGCTCGCAATCTTTGCCCGATTTGTTTGGCTCAGATATTACTCATCGATCAACAACTGTGGTGGAGAAGTTTAAGCTACTTAAAAAGTCAAACTTTCCGGACGAAAACGCCAGTGTTTTCCCACTACCATCTCGTAAGTTTATTGTCTTTTGCACTTTCTCATCAATGAATTTCAAGGTGCGCTGTTATTATGATAACAGAGTTAACGGTTGGGCAGTCTCACCACTTATTCCACGAAGGCCAAGGTGAATTGTCTACCATACTTTTATTGATCTAAAACTATTTTTTCTCAAAATCATGTCCAAGGCATCAGTTGAGGATGAATGTCGCATTTCAATTCAAAGTCCTGGGTCTCTATAGTGAGGGTGATGAAGAATGGGAAAGGGGGAAAGTATCATGTCACATATCTTGCTCCAAATGTGAGAGCAGTGGGGAATGCGGAGCAAAGATTGGGTCCAAACAATCGAAAAATTTTGGGTCGTTTTCTGTGAAGCCTTTCAGGCTACTATCGATTTTCATGCAACAACTATTATTTGTGGACATTTTGAGCGGAGTGAAGTGCGACTAGCAACTATTTGTAGCATGCAAGTAGCACAAGTGGTTCCACCTGATCGTGTTTCAATTGTCGACAAAAATTCATTTCTGTTGTTAATTGATGTCCACGGACTCCCGCAGAGGTTGCCTTATCGCGCACTCTCATAACACTCGCATGAGTGACTTCACCGGCCTGCATTGCTTCAATGGCGTGACGGTCACTTTTAAAAATGTCGAGTGCACTAATAATGCGGTCTTTGTTCACCAGATAGGAAAGGTCACTCTGAAAAGGAAGAAGAACTACCAATACGTGACGAGGTTTTTTTGGATGGTCCAAAGCTTCCTCCTAGAGCCACCGTTGGTGTTGGGGAACGGCTCGAAATGACCTGCTATATAACCGGCTACCCTACGCCGCAAGTATTCTGGTTCAAAGACGATCAACAATTGAGCGATCGCAACTCTTCTAATGACTTTCAGGTAGACAAAACTCGTTTATCGAAAACATTCTTCTCCACATGCAGTTCAAGTCAATTTATGCCTACTTAAAAGGACAGAAATGGCCTGGTTTTATTGTTTACCGTTTAACCATATCATGTGCCCGCATAATTATCAAAATAGGCAACCGTGAAATGAGTAATGGTGGTCGTTTTTGGTGCGCATTGCTACTTTTAATTAATTTAACTGATTTTAATGATCGCAAAGGCCTAGTCCAGTTACTTTTTTGATACTCGTCCCTTCTCTTTTGAACTTTCGCCAAGTTAACTCGAATTTCCCATACTTTCTAGTCAATGCGGTTTCGTTAATTCGACTTTTTTGAACAAGCTAAAACCATTTTACCTTGATTACTTTTAACTTCAGTTCAAAAAAAGGGGCAATGTGTATCAACTTATCATACCATGTGCTCTTCCTCACCACTCCGGCTTGTGGGAGGTGATCGCCCGCAACTCAGCTGGTCTAGTGATGAGTGGATCAAACATCGAGGTCAAAGCATCTGAGCGGCGGTCAGCGTCACCGTCTTCACTGGTCCCGCTTGATCGTCGCGCCCGAAGCCTTCCTCCATGTGCTTCCACCGAAAACCCATCTAATCGCATGCATTTGTGCCTAGACAGGTCCTACATGAATGAGCAGGCACCACGATTCACTAAATTATTTAGCGATCAAACCGCTTTCAGTGGAGATACTGCTCAATTTGAGTGTTCAGTGATTGGGTTTCCCACACCTGATGTAAGTCAGGTATCATTAACAATTGGTAAACTGGCTGAAGTATTCCACGTTTATTTGTTTCGGAAAATGTACTCATTTTATTTTGATTTTACCTTCCAAGGTTGACTCATCAAGAAAATTGCCCAGAAAACACCCTTGCGAGAATTTCGGAGCACTTTGCTTGGTTTCAATTCCCAGCTTAGCAGACAAAATTTTTAACTCTTTCGTCATGAGGTCATCATTGAGCGTGTTGAGGTAGTGGCTGGGTTATCATATTTGATTGTGAAGGCGTGTAAAGTGCGAGTTATGACCGTTACAGAATGGAATGATTATGTGAAATGACACAGTTTATTGACGCGAGGAAAGTATGCTTCATCAACCAAGCATCTAGCCAGGAGGAATCACCACCATTCGGTGGAGGCCACGTTTTACGAGTCAAGATGCTTCCATTCTGTGCAAGTCATCGATACAAGTACCTACACACGCGCACACCGCCGTCTGGTGAAGTCTGGGTGGCGAGTAACTGTCATGAACTGTCCTGTACTTCAGTTCTCGATTTGAACATCTCCAACTCTGTTTCATTGCGTAAAAGCGATTTGCTCTGTGCTACTCCTAAAGTGAAGCGTTTTTAATGACATGTTCGCGCATAAAGTCAAAGAGTTGGACTGCATACAGGGTAAGGACTATACGGCGGCCTTTTGCTGCCTTGTTTTTTTTTAAGTTAGCTAGTTTTTTCAAGAACGTAGGTATTTCTCTCACAGCTTTACTCAAACTTTCTTGAAACGATGGACCAAATGTGTGGAGAATGCTTAGAACGCGGTTACCTTTTTTCTTCTAATCGTTCAATCTAGACTCCGCACTTGTACGACTTTGTGGAAGCGAGAGGAGAAAACCCCAGGTTTTTTTTGTATCACTTCATAAAGTGCGAAAAACTAATGTTGAATGAGCACCTAAAATGTGCAGAATTTGCCGCTTTCTGGCACTTACAGGGTCTCAATCTCTCGAATTAGTTGAAAGATGGTGGAGTTTCTTATCTAAGTCGTCCAATTTTCCTAAATAATTGAGTAATAAATTTGGCTTAAATGCGAACAATTCTTCGATAACAACCCTTGTTGGGGTAACGATAGCACCGTAACATCGATACGTGTCATAGCGTTGCAAATAGTCGCCACTTCCACTTTGGATGAAAATTCACTTCAATGGTAATGGTAGGACTGAAAAGGTAACTTGTAAATT